AAATGTGAGTTACTTGTAATCGTAATACATCGTTTTATATATTTAACGTACTTTATTTTACAAAAAAAAAACTAATCTTGAAACAGCGAGGTAATAGTTAGATATACGTGAAATTTTTCATCGTGAATTGACGTCTACCGTTATCTAAAGCAACTTTTGAAGAAAGTGTGAAAGAAATTCACTTAATCGCGCGTGTGTGTGCGTGTGAAAGTGATCAAGTGCCACGGAAGACAATCCGGACAATATTCCTGTGGACTTTTGGTGACGTTGATGGCAGTGTTCGCAGTACCGGAGGAGCCGGTTCGGGCGATAAAATGCTGGCGCGAAGGTATATTTCTGTTTGTAATATTACATATATTACATACAAAAGTATTTAAGTATAATATATCTAATAAGCGGAAGTAAGCAAATCTTAGGGTGCCCGTTTGTTCAGTTTGTTGAATAGTACAAGTGTGCAAAGTTTCTAAATTTTTCGTTCCAAAATACAACTTTTATTGAAAAAAAAACCAAAAACCACACAAATTTTCTATCTCGTTTCGCTTACGCTACGTACATTTGCGCACCCATGTCTTATTATTAGTTGTTCATTTCAACGTCCTCTACAACTTGGCCTGTCCAGTTTTCACAAAATTTTTGACTAGCNNGTTATTTTAGATATTAGTATTACTATACTTACATACTATTTAAAAAAAAAAATATTTTGGCTACCTTAGACTAGCTCTACTAATCGGTTAGGTACTAATACTTGGTTAGGATCTAACCAGATTTGGTTAGGTTAGTGCCTAACTCATTTAAATTTTTGTGAATGACTTTTTCGGGTGCCTTTGGTAGTGTGTGTAGGCTCAGTATTTAAAAAAAATATTTTGACTAAGACTAGCTCTCTACTAATCGGTTAGGTACTAATACTTGGTTAGGATCTAACCAGATTTGGTTAGGTTAGTGCTTAACTCATTTAAATTTTTGTGAATGACTTTCGGGTGCCTTTTGTCGTGTGTGTAGGCTCAGTATTTAAAAAAAAATATTTTGGCTAACTTAGACTAGCTCTCTATTTATCTGTTAGGTACTAATACTTGGTTAGGATCTAACCCAGATTAGGTTAGGTACTAATACTTGGTTAGGATCTAACTCAGATTAGGTTAGGTTAGGCCCTAACTTATTTAAACTTTTGGGAATGTCTTTTTCGGGTGCCCTTGGTAGTGTGTTTAGGCCCAGTACACCCAATTTTCTTCAAAGTTCTTAATCTAATGATAGACTTCTATTTTGTTTCAGAGTGGTGTCGTCGCGGTAAGTGGCCAGCGCACGTGAGTAGACTTTTAGGGTAGGTGATGGGTTTTTTTAAAATCAGTGCGACATTTTTTTTTTTTTTTTGACAAGGGGAAATCCTTTATGGATACCCCGACCTGTAAGGGCAGGTCGGGGTTATGTGGGACTTACCAAAGAGGCGTACCCACTAAAACCCCTTGAGGCTAGTCTTGAGCATAAGGAGAGGGCCTGGAAAGCCGGAGGGCTATACGTCTTGGTCCTCTCTTCCGCTCCTGGGTGCCTTGGTGCGGCACCGCACTTCCCCTATGACAGAAGGGAGCCTATCCCCTCCTGCCGGTTTCTACGGTCGCGTGCAATGTCCGAGAAAAGCCCTCACTTTTCCGGACTGCGAACCCTGACTCCCCTCGCCCTCACCCGTTGTGGGGTATTCTTAGTGACATCCCAACAAGACAGGGGGGGGCGAGAGGGAGTCCCGCTCCCTCTGCGTAAGAAGCAGGGATTCTTCAATCCCCTGTTCTAACCCGGGCCAGAGTTTGGCTTTGACGCAGGCGCTCCGCGTTTTCCTTGACTAGCTGCACCTTCTCGCAGTGGGCAAGCCCTCTCCTCGTTTCACGCGGTGCACTCCTCGAGAGTGTGAGCCGCAGTGTCGACCGCGACTCCGCAGTGCTCACACTCCGGGGTGCCCGCCCTTCCTATTCGGTGCAGGAATGCACCGAATACTCCGTGGCCCGTGACGATCTGGGTTGACCGGAAGGTCATCCAGACGCCCGGGCGACTCACCCAGTCCTTTAGGACCGGACCCACCGCCTCCCGGACCCTCCGTCCTGGAAGGAATGGGTCTTCCAATCGGTGCTGCCACCGCAGCACCATGCCGTCGTGCGCTCTTAACCGGGCCTGCCGGACCTCTTCCGGGTTCAGGTCCCGGCCGGCTGCACGCGCCCTACTCAGAGCTTCCTGCCTGGCTTCGTACACCTCCGCGTACGCGTCGGCCAGCAGGTCGACAGGTGGAATTCGCGCGAGCACGCGAACGGACTCCAGGGCCGCAGTCCTATAGGCCCGCACCACCCGGCCTCCCACGAAACGCTGGACAGAAGCCAGCGGGGCGGCCGCCCGGCCCACCCCAGCCTCCCGGTGCCACACCGGGACACCGAAGCCGCACTGGTGTTCAACGCATTTGTTAGGTTAGGTACTAATTTCTGGATTAGGAGTAATTCTATGGGTAATTGCGTGGTTTAGGTTTAGGTTTTTTTTTTGGCGTTCTTTTTTTTAGCGTGTGTTGACGGGGGAGCTCCACCCCCTCCCCAAAACATGAACTCGAGTCTATTTTGCTGTTTTATCAGCCTCTAAAGAGTCGTCTACAATGGGTGTAGGCAGTATATTTCGCGTTTTTAACACACGTCTTTCTTTGACGAATAGGAAAGCAGTAGACAGTGCGAAAGTGGAATTGCCCATTTCGTAATTCCCATTGTTTCTTCACCAAAACAAAACAAAAAAAAATAATTAGAAACATAGCGCACTCGTGTTCAACACTTCGATCAAACGCAGATCATTAGATTTATTTGGTATTTGACAAACATTGTGACAATGTTATTTATCGATATTCAAACGATGTTTCAAAAATTACATTGTATTCATTTGTGTTATTACTTTACGTATTGTTTGACTGTTGCTTTATGTTTGTTGCTAAAACTCAATTTCTTGTCCGTTGTTGCACAATCTTTTTTTCTTTTCTATATTTCTTTATTGATTGCGGCAATTACTTTGGAATTTTTTAAAATTGTTATGTGGCTTCCCTCGACGTACTGTACCGTCACATCGGATGTTATCTGCAAGAGATTCAAAAAATAAAACAAAAACCGTTGTTTTCTTATCTCTATTCTGATATAATATTGACAATTCTCATATAATATAAATCGTAAATCGTAAATTGAAATCAACTTTCGAGAAATACCTTGTGCAAACCGTAATCTTCTTCGGCTTCGGGTGCCGAAGGAATTGTAGGTTTTAATAATATTACTGGAGATTTGATACGCGGTACGGTGGAAACTTCGTACTTCTTTATGATGACTAAATGTTTGTATATTGTCGTGTACAATATCTTTAAATTTGCTAACGAGAGCGTTGAGTTTTGTGCCGTAAAGTATTTTGCAAAAGTGTTGAATCTTTCTTCGTCGGTTTTACACTTCTCCAATGTCATCGAGTCCTGTGCGCGACGTTGCGAGATTTAAGTACATAATGCTCGATATATATCGACGAATTCGCGATTGGATGCGCTAGTTCGCACTGAGTGTTTTCTTTCAATGTGTAGTGGAATATTTCAGTGTTAGTACTTTACTACGCACTGGAAGAGGACGTACTCAGTTCGCACTAGTGCGTGCGATTGAATTTGTATGATACATTGCGTTAACGTAAGCAAAGAAGAAAATACCTTTTCGCTTGTTTCAATTTTGTAAACTTTCGAAAACATATTCAAAACAGAAATCTGCATTTCCGTTTCGTTGTTGTCCTCCGCGGATTCGGATGAGAATGTTATGTAACGCTTGTTTATCAACGTTATTTGATCGGGTGAGCCATCTATCAGAACAATTCGACCTTCAAAGCCTATATTTTCCAGTCGTCTTGCGAGTTCTATCGCGAGAATAGATCCAAAGGAATATCCAACCATCGCAAACTCTTTCTTGTCTCGTAATCTTGTTAATATAGCCTGCCGCACGTATTCGGAAAAGATAAAAAAAAAAAAAAAAGTATTCCTCGAGATTAATAGACACTTGCGAAATATAAACGTCGTACGTAGAAAAAAGAAATTATGTCGCGGCGTACCTGTTCAAGAATCTGATCAACCATTTCCGACAAATTATTCCCGGTAGAAATAGCACCTGTGTTGTAATGCAGAGTTGTGGCGGAAAATTTAATATGCGACTTCAAGTGATTGAATATAGTTCCGCAACCGTCGATTCCTGGTATGAGAAAAACTTGACTAGCGCTTTTTTCGTTTTCGATCGAGAAATCTGTCGAGATTTCAGAGATGAAATCTTCGTTTTGCACGATATTGAACATGAGTGAGTTGTTCCGCTCGCTTCTATCGGATGTATCAGCGGTTAGGTTGGTCTCTGTGTTGGACATTTCGAAAAGTTTTGCAAAAGTGATAGTTCGTATCTCTTGCGGGGAAAGGTACACGTCGAAGATGCGTTCCAAAATTTGCCTGATCTCCACCGCCATCATAGAGTCCATCCCGAGCTCGGCCAGAGATGTGTGCTGACTTATTCCTTTTATGTCTTTTATATCTTGGTACATGGAATAGAAACTCGTCAAACTTTGCCAAAAATACGCTTGTAAAAAGAGAGAGAAAGAGAGAGATAAACAGTGTGTATTCTTACCCATGATACTGGCAACTGTGTGCGCTATATCGGTGAGTCCAGTTGATCCTTGTTTCTTCTCAGCCACCACCATGCTGCTTACGATCGGCCGATTCTGAAGTAAAAATTTTTCGAGTTCGTTCAGGCAAGAGGATATCTTTTGCTGCAAGGTGCCGCTGATAATCAATTCTTTGTCGTCCTCTTGCATGTCGGCAACGAGACCTACGTCACCTATAGCTCCCCACTGTATCGCTAAACCGGGAAATCCATCCTTTACTCTCGTTTCGCATATCCTTTCCATCACGGAATTAGCCATACCGTAATTGGTTTGGCCGGCGTTTCCTCTGCCGCAGGAAACCGAAGAGAACGCGACAAAGTGTCGGAGTTTGGGACAGATCTTTCTCGACAGTTTGTCTAATATTTGAGTTGGCCAAACCTTAGCTCTGAAAGATTCTACGAAACTCTCCGTAGTCTGATTGTTCAGAACGTTGTCTTTCAAAACAACAGCGAGATTGAATATAGCATCCACGGGTGCTTCATTTTCCGCGCGTAGCAGAAGATGCTCGCAGTCTGTGGAATTGGCGATGTTGCGATCTTTGACGATCGTCACGTTTACGCCGTAGGATCTCCATATCGAAACCTTTAGCCGTTGATAACCGTTTTTTATACCGCTTCTTGAAATCAGCGTGACATTTTTTGCACCCCGAGATATCAGCCACTCGGTCAGTTCCAATCCAAAGCCACCTAAACCACCTAGTACGATGTAAGTTCTATCGCTGCGACAGTAGTAACGACGATGCGCGATAATCGGCGCGTGACATTTGTCTGCCTCTTGAATATTTAAAATTATCTGCAAACGTTTGATTGGAATTGGAGAATTCGATTTGATTTGCAAACATATATTTGTGTTGTGTTTGTGCGTACCTTTCCTATGTGCTTTCCACTCGCCATGTATCTAAAAGCCTCTTCGATTTCTGTTTGTTGGAAAACTTTAGCTTTTATAGGTTTGATAACATCGTTCTTGAGACCGTCAGCCATTAATCTCAATAACTGAGCCTTGTGTCTGTGTTCTTTTGCAAACATTGAATCCAGAAAAACACCGTAAAAAGAGATTCCTTTGTTAAACAACGACGGATCTAAAGAGTTGTTCGACACGTAGTCGAACTTTCCTATTTCCAGGAAACGACCGTTTTGCGCTAAGCAACGAGTAGACGCGACGAGTTTCTCCTCTGCCAATGAATTCAGTACTATGTCGACACCGCGACCGTTGGTCTGCTTCATAACCATTTTCTCGAAACTGATGTCGCGCGAATTTCCGATGTGATCGTCGGGAATAGCCGGAAACATTTCTCGGATAAACCGTCGTTTTTCAGCGGTACCTACTGTGGTGAACACTTCGCATTCTTCGTGTAGGGCGAGATGAATCGCCGACTGTCCAACACCACCGGAACCAGAGTGTACGAGTACCTTGTCGCCTTTTTTCATTTTTCCTTTTATATATAAAGCGTAATACGACGTNCTGTATACGCAAGGAACCGTAGCCGCTTCTTCGAACGTCCAAGTATCTGGTATGACCCATTGAAATTCACCTTTTGCAACGATATTAGCGATGCACCTGCGAGTACAAAACTTACTTGTGTATATATACGTGTCTGTATAAAAAACTAAAAATAATTGTACATCTTGTCGTTTTCGTGAGTAAAGATGTATGTTTCTTGAACTATATGTATATACTTATTGTCGCGCATTCCCATTACTCGTCGTCCTTTGGTATCGAATCCTACGTATTCCAGTCCGAGACTCGCGCTCTCGAATCGCTTTTCGTTTTCCCAAGAAGTTAATTTTCCCGTCGCCAGCATTACATCTTTAAAATTGATGGATGAATAAACCACGCGTATCGAATCGTCGCGATGAAAATTGTCACATGTATCGTTCTCCACCCAACAAAATGTATTTAGGTCGCCGAGAACCTATATGTAAGAGAAAGAGAGATATTAAATTGTCACGAGTACGAAAGGTATGTGTAATACAAAGAAATTTAAACAGCGAATTTACAGTTTGTTCCGCAAAAAAGGTGATACAATTTGAGACGGTTGACTGAATGTGAGTGGCATCGGTCGCTGTATCAAGTTGGAAAGTTGTTTTGAGAACGATTTTCACGGAAAAACATGTTGTGAAATGACTGCCGTGAGTTTGTGAAAAAAAAAGATTGTATAAAGATTGAGACAACGTAATATATTTACGGATGAAATTTTTTTTAAGAATGTCAATGTTATCTGTACAAATGTGACGCCAAGCATTTAACTCTAATTGACAGTAGAGAAACGACACTACCGTCTTTTCGAGAGATCTACTTTGATGTATATTACAGTTTTTTTCTTCTCAAAGTATTGTGTATTCTCGACGTATTAACTTTCTTGTGGAACACAGACTGCGTGTGTAAAAATATAATCGAGTGATATCACCGTTTGACAAACGTAAGCAGCGGGAACAAGTGCGGGTTCCGGAGCTGTCAAATCGAAATGCCGGTAAGAACCCCAAGTCTTGTTGGGTCGTAAAATATTGACTGTCAAATCTTTCTGCAACTGTTGCGCGTAGAAGGGATCTTGCGGAGAAAATTTTGGAGCAGTCTCGTCTTGAATAAGCACACTTCTGACCAACTCGCCACCGGGTTCTTTTCTCAAGCAATTGACAAAGCCCAGTAAACCGCACTCGAAATCGCCTTCGCTGACAACTACGATTCTGTTGTTGTGATCAAATGTTTTCTTTTGATCTGCAACAAGTGACTTCAATTTTTCCAGCCATTCAAAGTTATCGTTGGTAACGTGAACAACAGTTGTTTCTTTGATCGGAACTCGTTTCTTCAGAAGCGTAATCGTTTCCTTGTCGGTGCGCTTTTCGAGAATAATATTTAATCCAAATTGTTTTGCGAGATTGTCGTTGCGTTCGTTGGTTAACGATGCGTGAGAAGTACGATGCGATCCCGTTACTTCTGTCGCGTCGTATTTCTCCCGCGATAACAAATAACCACCTTCTCTGAGAAAAGGTAAAAGTTGTTCCAGTGAGTGCCGCTTCGATAAAAGATTAAACCCGGTGATCATTGAGACGTTGTTGTCTGTGTATTTTTGTGAATCCGCAACTGTTACGTTCGGTGGCAAATCTGATGTGTTGAATCGGTCGGTCGGCGATGTCATTAGAGTAATAGTTGCTTGTACTAACGGCAAATTGTTGCAAGCTTCGAGTGTCGCTAAAGTTGCCAATTCTTCCGTGCTTACGATATCTGTATCTTCCACCAGTTCGATTACCTTCACTTTCGTAATCTGATGATCCTCCAGTGCGATTTGCGTTGATATTCGTACCGCTTCGTGCAAAGGAATCTTTTCCCGATCGTGATGCGCTACGAATCTGTGTTCCTCGATAACGGGATCTGCGTTTGGTTTTCTGCGAGCGATCGAAGTAGCTTTCGCACCCCAAATCTTTACACCGCCGGACACTATGAGATCCAAGTTTTTGTATACACGTACTGGCAATACTGAAAGAAATTATATTTTGAATAAACTGTTTCGAACCTCGCGCAATTCTCACGTACACGTGTGCTCGTAACGTATCTTTGAATTTCTTTTGTAATAATAATGTGCGAAATAAACTTTTGTTTTCTTTTCTCAAATAAAAGACTTACGTTTGATTAGGTTTTCCGTCGTGCAGTTTTGTAATTTTGCGTTGTGAAGAGTCGGATCGATTACCAATTTTCGAATATTCGTAGGAACGTACAGACTTTTGGTATCTTTCCCGAGTATGTGCAGTTGCAGCAACGTGTCCATAAACGTGACCCAATTACTTATCCAAGCGACGTGTCCTTTGCTACCCGTGACCGATGCGCTTTTTAATCCACGAAATCCATCGCTGTATTGATATCCGCGTAACTTTAATTCCTTGTAAATATCCCGAGCGTTCATGTGTTCTTCCTCGTTGTCATCCGGTAATAAATCGGATGCATCAGGTGCGGTTTCTCGTTTGAGATCTACTTCGTCGGTGGACACCTCACCCGTTGCAACGATATTGTCTCTTTCGCACACTTCGAACCTTCCGCTTCCTACGATAGTTTGTAAAATCAAACAAAAAAAATGTCTGTTGTGTAATTTTTCTTCTTTAATGTTGTTAAAAATTGATCGATTGTCTATTTGTATCGTTCGATCTTTTGTTCAACTTGTTTCGAAAAGTCTGTGAAGAGAAGAATGATAATAAAATACCTTCGTGTATGCTAATCGTCAATTGTACAACATCAGTTTTGGATATATGAGTAGCGCGAACGAATTTCAAGTTTCGAAACACCACTGGTAAAGTTGAATATAATTCTCCTTTGATTTTTCCGATAGTTTCCCATACGAGCGCGATGTAACCCATAGCTGGGAACAAGTTTCTTCCGTCTATTACATGACCTGTCATATATTCGTAGTCCTCGTCCGTAAGCTGTACGTCGACGAGTCTTTCTCTGGTTTTAATACGTTCCGATACTTCGTGCGATACGAGCCAATCTTTGGAGTGATCCCATCTAAATTAACACTCTTGCGTTTATGCGAGTAATATATAACCTACGTGTAATAAAAAATAAATTTATTTTATAAATAACAAAAAGCTAACTCTCTGTGCAACCTCTAATAGAAACATGTTTCTGAGAAAAAAGTTTTTTATATATAGACAAAAATTCGATATCTCGTTCGTATATTTGAGCGAATGTTCGTACTTGATAGATGGAGAGATGTGCGGGGTCCCACGGCTGACTGGATATTTTACAGGAGGATACAAAGCAGCAATTTGTGGTTGCAAACCGCAGTTGTAAACTTTTCCAATTCCCCGCAGCATTGCGGTGACTGGATTTTTGTTTGTTGCGCACTGAGTGAGCGCGATGTTAGTCACTTGTGGATGCAGAGATTCTTTCAAGATGTTCTGCAAAACGCTGATTGGTGAAATTTCGATGGTCACGGCGTTATTTGGAATTATGTGCGTTGTTTGTTCGAAAAGAACAGTGGACAGTATATTGTTCGTGAAATAGTCAGCGGAGCACAATTGTGCTGCTGAAGTGGACCATTCGGTACAGGGTACGGATGTGCTGATCCATTTTGGGCTTCTTTTGGGAGGTTGTGATATCAGTAGACTCAAGTCCCTTAAAAGTTTATCTTTGATGGACGCGAGATAACGACTGTGGTAAAGTATATTGTTGTGGGATATTTCTTGCACATGCGTGTTACTAGCCTAATGAAACAGAAATAACCGACCAACGTTTAAGTTTAATATGTTAAATTACTTTTTATACGCTGTTAAAAATCTCGGTAAATCTCATTTTGTTGTAACAGCGAGTGTCACCAATTAACGCACCCGTAACTTTCTCGTAAACGCACGCATACGTTCCGTGGGTCCGCTTATAACGTTGCTTTTTCCATTATTGCGGCGTGTGATTTCAATATCTGGTGGACATATATTTTTGAGAGTTTTGTAATCGAGATTGACGGTAGCCGTAGATCCACGAGGCGCGTTGCTTTTGACACATGCCAAAGCAATCGAGTACGCTGATAGAATAGTTTGTTCGATAGTGAGGCACTTATCCGCGTATGCACATCCGAGTTCTCCGACGGAATATCCAATCATGTTATCCGGAATAATTCCCAAAGATGTTAGGAGATCTACCAATCCGATCTGCACCAATTATGTATGTACATATGTATACTTTACATTTATATTAGTATCTTTGTATCGTTTATGTATATTGTATGCATATAATATGTATACTTTGGATTATATGTATATATTTTATATTATATTTTACATCTTGTAATACATGTAAAAAAAAGCAAATGATAACTGATCGTACAGCTTGGCGAAATAACGATAATAATAATTTACCTGAAATGCAACGATACCGATCAATGTGTTCGCGAGACTTTTGTTTTCCATCTTTTCGTCTATCGTTGTCATAATGTCTGTTACGCTTATGTTATATTGTTTCAAAATATTGTTGCATATTTTCATACTACGTGCAAAGACGGGAAATTTTAGTAAATGTTGACCTACGTGTTAAAGTTTGCAACGTCAGATTATAATTGTATTACGTTCATTGAGCAAAGTCGCGCGCGAGTAGTACCTAGTTCGAACGATTGCGAGTCCACTCCGGAAAATATAAACCAAATAGGTCTTTTATCGTTACTACAAGCCTGAATTTCTTTTGTGGAATTGTGTTGTTGCGTCTTATCCAGTACGATATATCCTCTCCACGGATGACCGTCTATATTGTAAGCGTGAATGTCGTGTAGCAGACGAATATATTCCACGTCTAACGGATAATTTGCGATCTGTGAGCAATTTTTGAAACAAATATTTGGTATAGATTTTAATTTATGAGAGTGTACGTATGTACGCAACTTCCGTTTGATTGGACGGAACGTTAACGCTTCATGTGTCAAACTTACGTCCTTTAAAAACGATTTCACTGATTCTTCGGTGCGTCCAGATACGGTAACGAGTCTTGGCAAGTCGTCATTTGGTGCACCGTTATTGATCTTTCTTTTGGGATTCCATTTTAATAACAAATGCGCGTTGGCTCCTCCGAATCCGAACGAGTTTACGGCTATGTAACCGTTAATAAGATGCGTTGGTTCCGTTACAATGCGTATAGTTCCATTTACAAGAGATTGTATGTCCTTTCGTGGTGATGTAAAGATCATTGGAGGAATAATGCCGGTTTCCATTGCGATTATTGCCTTCAAAAGTATGTATATAACAGCATATGTACAAGTCTCAAAATTTTGTAGAAAATTAATTTGTTTGTTGATGTAATTTAAATTGATTTCTTTTTTTTTCTTTTTCTCTTCTCTTCGCAAAACTTTTTCTAATATTGTACATAAAATAACTTTGTTTCTCTACCTTAGCGATCTGACTCATACCGCTGGCTGCTTCCGCGTGACCAACATTGGATTTTATGGAACCAATCAACAACGGGGTCTTTCTTTCTTTGCAGAAAACATTAGTGATAGCATTGATTTCCGGTGGATCGCCAGCTTTCGTGGCGGTACCGTGCGTTTCAATGTAGTCCACATTAGTTGGCGACATGCCGCACTCTTCATAAAACTCGGTTAATAAACGTGTTTGCAAGTGTTCCGATGGAAATGTTATTCCTTCGTCTTTGTATCCGTCGCTGTTCAGTTTAACATGTTTGCACAAAGCGTAAATTCTTTTTGCATTTTTCGCTTTTTGAAGATATATTACCGATACAGTCTCGCTACGAGTGTAACCGTTTGCATTTACATCAAAAGGTCTGCAATAACCCGTTGGTGATAAAACACCTGAGATCAAACGTATTATATGTATGAGAAAATGCATTTTTAGAATATATATCTGCGCGCTTTTTCTACAAATGTATATTGAAAAAATAAATAATTTTTTTTACGATACTTTACCAAGACGACAAAATTGCATAATCAGTTTTGAATGCATGCACAAGTTTCCAGCAGCAACAATAGCTTCCTCGCATATGCCAGATATGATGGTGTGATAAGCGAGTGCTACAGCGTAAAGACTAGCGCTGCACGCCGTATCGACTACGTAAGATGGTCCTTTCAGATTTAGCCAGTAGGAAATTAAATTTGGCAATGTAGCTTTGTTACAGCCAAGAAAATTCATACCGTTGTTCTAAATGTAAAATAGTTTACAGTATTATTGTCAGATACCTATGAATACAAATGTGTATTAACTGTTACATTAATCGATCGTTGCAAATGTATATTTTCTACCTGGAAGTCCCGGTGTGTAAATTCATTTTGTGACTCAATGAAAGATGTTGCCACGATCGTAGCAATATTTCTTCCTTGTAATTGCTTCGGATTCATCCCTGCATCGACAATTGCTTCGTAAGTACGCTCTAATAATATTCTTATTGATGGATCGAGTGTATGCGCGTAACTATCACATATGTCAAAAAATTCCGCGTCGAATTTATTTAAATTATTAATTGCTCCTAGACGTTTTGGTAAGTCCGGATGTTCTATAACAGATGATACAATAGCATTGTGTGATACCGATTTGTATAAGAATAAACATTAATTTACCTATTTTCCATCGGCCATGCTTGTCCGTAACAAGATCGACGTTGTTAAATAAATGTTCTCGTAACTGTTTTATATTGTCCGAGCCTGGAAAGCTACCAGCAATGCCAGAGATAACAATTTCTTCGGAATCAATATCGGCGCACAATTCATATTTATTTTCATTGATCATAATTGATTTGTATTGCAACTGTGACAGTAGAATTTTCATAAAAAATAATATATATTTTATAAATATGTTCTACTTGTTGTATACTTGCAGGATGTGCAATTTTTTATTCGTACTATCTACAACAGAGTGTCTTTAACCAATGTGTCTTGATCTGCAAGTACAAAGTGACTAAACAATAAAGAAACAACAACTTTATATATCAATGCATTCTGATACGCATTTGAATTTTATTACTGCTGTGATGACCGTGAAAACATAATAAAGGAAATTGTATATTTAATGATACACTTACGTTCTTTTTCCTCAAATAAGACATATTTAATAACTAACTGATTTCCAACTAAAAAAACGAGTTTCTTGCGAGTTAAAATATTTACTCAAACAACGTTAAGATAAAACGTTTACTGACATAAAAATACGTTATAGATATTAATTTATATAAAATTAATTTTTAAATATATTTATAAAATTTTATTTTATAAATTTTACTACGTTACATTTACGTACTTGAAAAAAAATCTGCGTGAAATTGTTATATCATATATTATTTATTAAAATACATAGAGTTATATGGTTATTTGACTTATATAAATATATAATAAAAATATTGTATAAATAGTACAAAAGAAAAAAATTTATTTAAAATAAAAACTATTTCATGTAAAAACTCTGGCACGGCTGTCACTTCGAATATATTAACACGTATATGTACACGTCGCTATAATATTATTGCAGCTACTTAGTGGTTACTTTTTCAATAAACATACGTCTTTCTCGAAGCATTAAGTTTATACTACAACATATTTATTTATTCAGACGTTTGTAAAATAACGAGTATATATTTAAGACAGAAAATGATAAAAATAATGAGTATATACAATGTGATAATAATTAATTAATTTAACCAATATAAACTTGCAAAGAACATTCTTTTCAAAAAACATTTATTTACTTTTTATTTAGTTACTTTCGATATATATATATATATATATATATATATATATATATGTATTAAAGTGAAACTTCTTTAAGCGCGGTAGAGCGAGTTGATTATTACTAATAACGAAAGAAAGAATAGACAATTCCGAATAATAGTATGTAAAAAAAAAATGTTTATAAAGAAATATGCAAGAAATTTATTAAAAATAAAATATATTGTTGCATTAAACTAAAATATTTTTTCGTTAAAGAAGAACTCACAAGTAGGTTGATTTTATAAGTTTTACTTCAAACGCGCGCATGGTAACCAAGGAACCGATTTTCTTTTTTTTTTTTTTGCTCTTTGTTCCATTACTTGTATAAAAACCTTGATTTATATTCATAGATCTAGAATACATTTTCACTTTGCGAATGTATAAGCACTAGAAACAGATTACAATACAAAGTTTCAAACTACCGACAGTCAATTCAATAATTTATATGTATGTACATGTATCTACATACATAAATTATTGAATAATTA